ATACACGATCAGATTCACCCACCTGAGCTGCAGCTTCTTCATAGCCTGTAGTGCCATTTATCTGGCCTGCAAAGAAGAGGCGCTGAACAAGGCGAGACTCAAGAGAAGCAGTCAGTTGACGGGGATCTAAAAAATCATATTGCACCCCATAGCCTGTGACAAACAAGACAGATCTTATGGGATGGATTCTGAAGGTCTCTATTTATCAGCAAAGGCAGTCAGTGGGGCAGAATGACTTATCAACTTTCATTTACGATTTAAAAACAACTAAGGAAAAATCCCTGCGTCCAAGACTTAATTTTATTTCATACTTCCTTTGTTTTGCTACGCTCCAAACAAAATCTGTTTCTTATTAACTGGTAAGCAATGCGACAAAGATTGAAAACTATTCAACCCCCTCACCTGGCTGTAACATCTTGGCTTTGCCCAAGCCTGGGATGGATTTGATCACCTGCTCCTGGAGCTCAGGTGGCAGCGTCATCGAAATGCCTTGAGGGTAAATGACACTGGACTCCAAGCCTTCGGGCTCCAGCCACACCTGATGTTCTCGGTTTGGGAAGCGCAGAACCTTTGATTCAAGAGAGGGACAGTATCTGCAACAGTAAATAGCCATGAGCACCACCTGAGATGGAGAAAAAGTGACTTTCCAGAAGCAAAGCAGGAGAGACCCGCAGTTTCAGACAGACTGTCAGCTCTTGCCAGCGAGAGCCTTGCATGATGATACTTACCGCGGGCCCCTCGTCGTCTCCCTTACATGGTTGTTCAGGTGGAGGTTATCATGGATGATTTGCTGGGCTTTCAGGGTAGTGTGAGTCAGGTAACATGGCAGCTGATCTTCTGGCTGAAAGAGGCCAAAGCTCACTTTAAGTTAATTCAGTCACAACACCCTACTCTTACTGAACAAATCTGCCTGAGGCTTTCCCAGGCTTTTCCATTAACGGTTGGCTCTCACTTCCTGGAGAGATGGGTAGTGCTGTCAGAACACGAGCAAGTAGAGACAGAACACGAGCAAGCAGAGACCTTGAGTAACATGCCCAAAAGCAGACCAAGACCAGAACAGAACTTGAGGGTCCAGAATTCAAGTTCTATTCTAGACACTGTATTCCTAACTACAGGATGGATATTCCTATTAAAGTAACACATTACATCACGGCATCCAAATCAACTATAGGAATTCAAAGCTCTGGAGGAGGAAGTGCTGACCCTACAGCTAACAGGCAATTAAAGAGTTTTGGGGAGAAAAAAAAAAATTAATCTCTCAATATCCTGCAATTAATACAGAAAATTCAAGGTTTGGAAAAAACCTCCCACCATGTAAAGTATTTCACCAAGTTCTTCTGAAAAAGAGTCAGTAGACTCATATTCAAAACAGTAATAATGTTGCACCTCAACTCATTAAAACCTTTCCTACACATACCAAGGATTTAAGGGATACTACTTTTGCACCCACCCTGACTATAACAGGTTATTGCAACTCCTATAGGCTCTGGGGCAAATTAACTCCTGATACTTAATTCTGTGCTGTTTAACTACATTATGTAAGAATGCCATCTGCTTTCCAAGATTTTCTTTGGAAAAATGAGTTTCTCCTGCTTTTAAGTTACTGTTAACATGCCACCTCTGACCTCTGTGGGCAACTCCATCCTTTTATTTTTCCTAGTCAACACTATTAACGATTTCCAATCTCAACATTTTAATCTTATTCTCGAGCTGGGGTAACAAACAAGACATCATAAATCTCCACAATACAGGTCTAATCCATGTAAACCACCCATGTAATCAGCACATGAAAAATACTACTAACAATATCACATTTCTCACAATTCTGCCTCTAAAAGTAAAGAAAGTTTGGTTCTCAGGTTGGCAAGTGAGAGGAAGAAGGTACCTGCTTTCAAAAGAAAACAAGCAATTCCTCCCTTTGCATTGAGAGTCCTCAGAAACGTAACATCTCCAGTGCGAACACAGCCCAGCTCCACTTCCCAGCCATCAACTCCCTGGCTGACTCCGAGCATGACATTCCCAGAACCGCTCCCCGCCTGGCTGCACGTGCAGTGGACGTGTGCCATCCCACCTTGATCCACACAGCCTCGCTGAGGAAGCTGAACGGCACCGGAGGATCGTCAGCTACACATTTCTTCAGACCGCTGAAGTCAATCGTATCTTTGGCAAGTCGCGGTGGCGTCCCAGTCTTCAGCCTGCCCACAGCAAAGCCCAGTTTCTCCAGAGTCTGAGCCAGCCCGATGGCTGGCTGGTCCCCTAGTCGTCCAGCCGGGTGCATCTCCAGTCCGATGAGGACCGTACCCCTCAGAAACGTACCGGTGGTCAGGATAACGCTCCCGGCATGGACTGTGCTCCCATCCCCTGAAACAGCAAGTTTTCAGAGATGCACATACGTTAGGACCAATAAACCCCCAGTATTCTGGGGTTTCTGTCTAGAACGAGACTAACAGCGTTCACGGAGGCTTTATCCATCTTTTAACAAAACCAGCATTTCAATAATACAAGCATTAATAGCAGTAACTGCAATAAGCAGCATGTAGTTATTCCTATATTTTTCTTATTCCTAAGTACGTTAGCCCTAACACAGAAAACCCACAGGGAAAAACTCCTATTCAGAGCTTTATTTCAGAAAGCTTGTTTACTAGAACAGCAAGGGATAGTAACACGTGAGTCTGATAGTAACAGGACACCAGTGCCCCGTGACGTTGTCGGCAGCATATGCCGTTTACCAAATAAAATCTCAAAACACAGAACAGAATTCAGTCTCACTAGCCTGAAGAAAATTAGACTTATGTAACCTCCCAATACCTGTCAATCCAGGTATGTTTCTCGTTGCATTACACGTATTAACTTAGATTAGCTCACATGGGGCCTAAATCACCTCTACTGGCTAATTCAACTTTCTCACTGATGAATCATAAATGTCTACCCCAAAGGCTGCTCTAAGAGTAACTGAAGGTGCCTACTGAGTTACTAGCACATACCCAGAACGACTCCTGTGACCTGGCATTTCCCAGGATGGTCCGGTTCTGGCTCTGCCAAGAGAAGATCCTCCACAGATGCCTCACGAACTGTCAACAGTGGTGTGCTAAGGATTTCTTTCTGTCATGAAAGGAGTTACTGCAAAAATCTAGGAAGCTACGAGGCGTATGATCAGTCCCAAACCCTGGTGATTTCCAAAACATTTATTCCCTTTTGCACTTTCACTTGGCAGACACTCAGTTACTGTACTCTCCTAAGCTATCAAGCAGAACTTTTAATTCACAGGTAAGAGTTTAAGCTCAAAAGAAACTACTTAGTCATGAAGCCTGACCTGCATATAAAATGCCTGAGAATTTTTTCAACTATCCTGAGCTCCAACAACGTATACGGCATTGAAGTACCAAACAGAAAGGTTTGATAGGAAAATATTAAAAAAGAAAGCAACACACCCCCCCCCCCTCCCCAATAGTTTAGCCTAATACTTCAGATCCCTGCCATTTTCACCAGACTGTATCTACAGACACCCCCATACACAGCTAAGGTATCCTTAAACAAGGCAAGTCCCCCTCCCACCTCCGCGCAAGGACAAGTTTAACTCGCAAACGCGGCGGCGAGAGGGTCTCGGCCCCCGGGGGCAGCCCGGCCCTCGCCCGCCCTCACCTGCACCTTCTCCTTGTAGCGGCCGCGGTCGATCTGGGCGCGGAGGCCCCACACCGCCGGGCCCTTGCTGCGGTTCAGCACTTTGTAGTGGATGCCGGCGCGGTCGCAGAGCCGCCCGCACAGCCCGTCCAGGGCGTCCACCTCCCGCATGAGGTGCCCCTTCCCGATGCCGCCGAAGGAGGGGTTGCAGGACATCTCCCCTAAGGAGCGGGGAGGGGGGGGGGGAACACACACACACAGGGACTCCCCTCACCACCGCAGCCCCGAGGCGCCCGCGTACCTTCCCCGCCCTCCTCCTCCTCCTCCCGCGGCTGAGCCCGAGCCCGAGCCCGACCCGGGCACACCCCCCCCCCCCCGGGGCGTTACCGATGGTGCCGATCTTGTGCGTGAGGAGCAACGTGCGGGCCCCGCCGCGAGCGGCCGCCGCCGCCGCCTCCGTTCCCGCATGGCCCCCACCGATCACCACCACCTCGTAGCGAGCTGCCGCTGCCGCCGCCGCCGCTTCCCCGACCCGGCTGCTCGCTCCACGGCGCCCGGGCCGCGGCGCCGGGGCCAGCGCCAACCTGCGCCAGGCGCTCCGCACCAACATGGCGGCCGCCCGGCCGGGGGCGGGCCCTGCCGTGAGGGGCGGGCGCGGCGGGCGGTGCCTGGGGCGGAGGCGGGGGCCGGCCCCGCCGCTCCGGCGGGAGCGGCAGCGGCGCGCAGGTGTGAGGCCGCCCGGGAGCGGGAATAAGGCTCCCAGGGGATTGGAGGGAGGCGGGCGGGAGGGCGGCCGCGCTGTCGGAGCTTTCCCGCGCCCGGGCAGCTGAGCAGAGCCGGGCAGCGGAGGCAGCGCGGTCGCCCCACCCCGGCGAGGGTTTCGTTTCTTTTGGCGGAGGCGCGCTGCCTGGAAGAGGAACTTGCCGGAGGCGGGAGGAGCGGGAACCCGCCGTCCACGCAGGTGCGGAGAGGGGAGCAGAGTCCATGGACGGCGACGGCGGCCGAGGGGCGCGGGGCCGGCGGCGGGCGCGGGGCCGGGGCGCGGCCCGCAGCTCCCCCCGGGGCCGCGGCAGCCCCGACGGCGCCGCGACCCCGCTCCGGCCGCCGCGGAGGGACAGATCGGCCGCCCGGCGCGGCCGCCCGGCGCGGCCAGCCTCCGCCGGCGGGAGGCTGCCGGCGGGCCCGGCGGCGGCGGGCGGCGGGGAGGCGCCCCCCGCTCCCCCGAGCCGGTCCGCGGCCGCCAGAGCCCCCGCGGCGCGGAGGCGAGCGGGGGTGCCCGACGGGGCGGCCGCCGCCCCCCTGTCCCGGCGCCTCCGGGAGGTGCTGTCGCGGCTCAGCCTGGGCCGCCAGGACGTGTCCGACGCCTCCGGGCTGGTGAACCAGGTCGTCTCGCACCTGATCCAGGCCATCCGGAGCCAGGACGGCGGGTTCAGCTCCATCGAGCGGCTGGGCACCGGCAGCTACTACGAGCACGTCAAGGTGGGTCCCGTGGGCGGGACGGGCCCCGCGGCGGCGGCACAAGGCGGCTTCGCGCCGCTCCCGCCGCCCGAGCGCGGCTGTGGGCTGCTGGCCCTTCCGGGTGAGGAGAGGTTTTTAAGGATTACTACTTTAATTAACGGCCGTTCATTGTAACATCGCTCGCGGAATGGAAGACAAAGGCACGTGGGTTTAGTAGGATTCGCTGCCTGAACGGCCCCGGTACGCCCGGTGTACAGGGAGGACGAGCCGAGTACAGCGCTGCCTGAGAGGCCCTAGGCCAAATTTTACTTTGTATTTTTTTCTAAAAGCAGGAGAAACAGCAGTACCTCTGTTCGTGGTTCCAGCTCAATCAAACACGGGGACGCTTTTTTTTTTTTTTTTTTAAAACCAGCTTCAGCAACAGCTATGCATTGTTTTTTCTCCTCACAGCTGACACCTACGTGCAAAAGGATGACTAAGATCAGTATTTACACATTACTTGGAACAGCTTAAGAATCTTAAGACTCTTTTAAAAACTAGTGAGTTGGAAGGCTGGGAAACGAACTGCTATCAATAAATTGCTTTTCTGCACTCAAATGCACAGCAATCTTGTAATACAGATCCACAGAACTAAGCTCCTATTTCACACCAGACACAAGAAGTACACCAAGGGAGTTGCAGATAAAACTGCAACCTGTATAAAAGCCTAAAGAGAATAAACCCCAAGTTGCGCACTGAGTGTTGTATTCTCATACTTTGCAGATATCGGAACCAAATGAGTTTGACATCATGCTTGTATTGCCTATTGCAAGACTTCAGCTAGATGAATGCGATGACACTGGAGCCTATTACTATCTAACATTCAAAAGAAGTCCAAAAGAAAAGTATTTGTTGAAGTTTTTAGATGAAGATAAAAAATTATCAGCCTTTAAAATGCTTGAAGCACTAAGAGAAATTATTAAACGAGAAGTAAAAAACATTAAAAGTAAGTACCAAGAAAACAAACTTCACGTGGGAGTGATAGTTACATTGCACATATGGATTGCTTGCTGTTACTAAAATGTGATTCCCCTCCCAAGCAGCTGTCTCTATAACTGTAGCCCCTCCTGTCCCTGGTATCTCAACTTTGCTCTCATGCTAAGAATCACCACATATACATCACAGCTAATCATATTATGTGATTTACCTGTAGCTCCACTATGCAATCCTCTTTCCATATGGAAGTACTGAATATGAAAAGTTCTGTCACATGCTTGGTACTTCCTACATGACCTATATATTTTTAATCTACCTGCTGTGTACAAAGAGCCGTTTGCTAAACTGGTAGCAAAAGGAAGAGCTTTCTTTTACACATTACCTAATATTTTATAATCAATCTATCTAGAAAACATATCCCCTTTTAAGATGCTCTTTCTCCCAAGCCTTCATAAACATTATAGCCAAATCTCTTCAGCCTCACCGCTTTCAACAGTGAAGCAGTTCATTGGAAAATATTACTGTATTTCTGATTCTGTAGACATAGTAAATCAAGCACACACAGTTCAAGAAAAGTGTTCCTTATTTCATACAGCTCCTCAACAGGCTGCCCTAAAATTTTATTTAAAATCCATACCCGGTAGGATAAAGAGCCAGTGACTGAACTCAGGTATTTCTTTCAATCAATTATAAATTCCTCTTAAGTAAAAATGTTCTTCAAAAAAAAGTTTCTAATACATAAATCTCTTCTTTGTTACTAGATGTGGAAGTGACTGTGAAAAGGAAAAAGGCTGGAAGCCCTGCAATAACTCTTCTGATCAAAAATCCTCCAGTAGAAATATCAGTGGACATCATCTTGACTTTGGAAGTTCAGCAGAGCTGGCCACCCAGCACCCAGGATGGCCTCAAAATTGAAGAGTGGCTGGGAAGAAAAGTCAGGACAAAGTTCAGAAATAGATCAATTTATTTAGTAGCCAAACAAAACAAAAGAGAAAAGGTTCTAAGAGGTACCTTAAATACAGACAATAAGTTTAAGTTATGAACTATCTTCTCTATAACTTGATCACTTACAAGTGCTATAAAAGGGTATCCAGATTCTGTTCAGTAAACTGCCTTCAAGGTACAAATCTTATCCTGGATACATCCAGATCAAAGACAACTGAAATCCTTTAAAATGTCAGATTTGTGACACTGCTTGTCCTGCACTGAAATCTAAAGACAAAACTGCTCTGCCAGTCCGCACAGTAACCATTCCTAAGGGCGTTATATTAAATCTACTAAGTCGGACACATGGATATGGACCTTTCCTGTGCTAATCCTGTACTTAACAGCAACAGCCACTCCTTTGCTTTGTAAGAAAAAAAAACAAAAAAACAAAACAAAAACCCCCAACAACCCAAGATTTCTAAAAGGCAGGGAACATCCCTGTAAGTGGGACTGCATACACAAGTTATGGGCTTCTGCAGGACATAAACCCTGTACTTTTCTAGCAAGATACAGTGTTTCTCACTGAACTCTGGTATGGCTACAACATTTTTTTTTTTTTTCCTCCAGACCACTGTCACACCTAGCCTACATTAGTTTGCAGAAACATCCCAACTCATCATTGTGTTACGAAAACCAGTTTCAGCAAAAAGAGTTCAGACAATCTGGTATTATTTTTTTTTTTTTTTTTAAATTGCATGCCCATCTTAACAATGCCAAATCAATCATTACTGCTCTACAGGGCTACCTCTCCCTGTGAAAATTAAATGCAAAGAGTAACTGAACCAAACGTGGAAGGGAAACAGTCTAACTCCTATAAGGAAGACAAAAACGATTGCTGCTGTTAGAAAAATGAGGGTTGAGCTATGTTAATATTTGTTTTTGGAAACATTACCAGAAGAACAAAAATAAATTATCTAGAACACTCACCTTACCTGATACAAACTACTTGCACAAAGAAATTGAAACGAATAGTGAAGATTTTTTTTTATTCAAAACCAGAATGGTTACTCTGTAAAGCTAATAATACGGAATAGAGATTCAAAGGCAGTAGGTTTCTGTGAGTAGTGTAATTCCTCAAATCATAGTTAACAAATGAGGGAAAGTTCAGATTTAGGCTTAACTTTAATATAAATCAAAACATCCTTAAAAATATAGTTATAGCATCCGAACGATTAACTATGTCCTACATTAATAACATTTTAATTGCTTTTGTGGGGAACAGCTGGGGAATTAAGGAGGAATTAATGTAGTCACTGAATTACAATTTAAGTGCAAAGAAGTTGCTGGTATTTAAAATTAAATAAAGTGTCTTTTTTTTTTTTTTTTTCCTCCTAGTTAGAGACACCAGTACTTGCTGCTGTGTAACAATTTAACAATCTTGTACTCAACTTTAGGAAACACCTGGCGACTCTCTTTCTCACATATTGAGAAGGCCATGTTGAACAACCACGGCAACTCAAAGACCTGTTGTGAATCTGATGGACCCAAGTGCTGTAGGTTGGTATTTCATATGAGTATTTTACTTTAACCCTGTGCGAGCCAGGCTAGCACTGTCTTGTACTGTTTCAGTTTAACATTTAAGATTTTGATCTAAGACTAATTGCTCGTAACAGGGAGCAAGAATAAGGCTTTTAGGCATCATTGTTGTACAGCAGTACGTGCAGTGTTGTACCTGTCGAACGTCTGACTTGCATTTACGCAGCGAGGTGGACACAGGTTATATTGCAGGTTTACACTCCAGGCTTGCCTTACAAAGCAAGGGGATGCAACTTGTTTCCCAAACTCAGTCCTTTTTAGAACCACTTTAAAAGGCTGATGACTCAAGCTTTCTGAGTTTTGGGAACCAAATGACACTTCATACCAAGGCAATTTCTAAAATGATGGTGAGAAAGAACTGCTGAATGGGATCAAGATCAATAAATGTGATTTTTCACTCCCAATAAAAACTGGTTTCTACACTTCTTCAAAGAGAAAGCAAAATCCACGAGGTACAGAACCTCCTTAGCAGCAAACCAACTTCTTAGTTTACTTAATTACATCCTGTACTGAATCAAGATTATCACAAGAGAACGCATGCCTAGTTCTTTGGTTTTGCTTTATGAGTATTATCAGACATGCTATGCCCCTAGTGCAGTATACTACCTATATGTAGTACACTGCATATACCTCTTCCCCTCATGGTGTGCCACAGTGAGGTAGTGTCATTTCCTTATAAATCCAAAAGCCAAAACCACAGCTTTTATCTTAAGCAGTGCTCCCGGGTCATGTTCTGCTGGTATCATCTGCAGCCTGGAGACCGTATAAGCACGCTGCTGACAAACACTCTGTATTTCTGTAGCTACCAGTGAAAGTAGTGCATGCACAAAAACTACTGTTTAAAACAGAAATCCTTTGTTGCTGGAATATGACTTCATATGCAGCAGTTCCAGGATTATCCAGCCTATTGCTGCAATTATTTTCCGATTTTATTCAAAATATTATTGAAAATATTAATCTCAGAGTAAGAACACTTTTATTGCTTTCATGAATAATGTGTACTTAAATATCTAACCCACATATTTTAGGACTATGTAGAAGGTACTCATTTAATTCTTATTTATTTAACAGGAAAGGTTGTCTTAAGCTTCTGAAGTATCTTCTAGAGCAACTTAAAATGAAATATACAAAAGAATTGGAAAAGTTCTGTTCATATCATGTCAAAACTGCTTTTTTCCACTCATGTGTCATGTGGCCAAATGACACAGACTGGCATTTGGGAGACCTGGATCATTGCTTTCAGAAATATCTGGGATACTTTCTGGATTGCCTGCAGAAGTCTCACCTGCCACACTTTTTTATTCCCAAATACAACTTGCTCAGCCTGGAAGATAAAGCGAGCAGTAATTTCCTTTCAAGACAAATAAACAATCAATTGAACAACGGATTCCCAATATTTCAGGAAAGGTATTAAGAACATTGTTTACAGTAACTATCTAATTGTTTTTTAGACTTGCATATTTAAAACCAGGAGTTCTGCACTTTAAGTTACTCCTCAGCAGTCGGGTACTACAAAAAACCAAAACAAAATCAAGAACACTACGAGAAAATTGCATACTTCAGTCATACTGCTTAGTCATATCTCTTAAAAGAAATAGGATAAGTAATATTTATCTTCCCTATCCAAATGTAGATGTCACCTGCAAAGTATCTTCAAGGTATACTAGAACGTGTAGGAAGAATTTGCAGTAGTTTATTTCCCACATGTAGTTTCTGTGATTCCAAATACAAAGGCATCAATGACTGGGTAAAGCGAAAAATGACAAATTTATTTAAAATGAAGATCCACTGCAGAATATCCAAAATACACTTGCTTTCAAAAGAAAAAAAAGTCACTGCAGTCGCTTTGACATAAACCAGAACAACTTCTCCAGATCAACTGTGTGGATGAAGACCTTTTGCAGAGGACAACTGCCAGCAGTAACCAGAGAAAGAATATGGTATCAAAACAATATGAAGTTCCTGAGGTAACTTATCTTTCCTGAGTCTTCAGCACTGCTTTGGAAATTAGTGTTTTCACTGGACTTTAGGTAATGATTGCTTTCTGTCCAATGTGCTGCAACAGTAAAAGTTACTGTCAATAAGCATTTGTGTGACAAATCTTGAAGAAAGAAATGTATCTTCAACCCGTAGCAAGGAGGAACAGTCTCCCTGTGAAAGGTTATCAAAACAAAAATGCAGCATGAATGCGATATTCTCTGAATCAGAATTCAGCTCAATTTTTCTTATGTTGAAGAATATGTGTGTTAGGAAAAAAGAATAATTACATTTCCTACTACTTAACTTGTGCAGGTGATAAATACACAGCATTTGGACCTGCTGTGCTGTAAGTAAATACATCCTTTTCTTAAGGAAGCCGTGGGAAGTCCAAATTTTTAGCCTACTTTTTGAAGGCAAAATAACCTACTGACTTAAATAACGCCCAGATTTCACCTCAATTATGAGCAAATAAAAAAAGACGGAAGATCAGAAGAACATTTAGAGAATGATTTTACTAAAATATTCTTATCTCACTAGATTCAGTTTATTAATTTTTTATTTACTCATATGACATGTGAGTAAACAAGTTCAGACTAGGCATCAAATGAACAGCTCCTTCCCATATAACTTCCTAAGAGTGAAAACATACCCCATTGTCATTAGGATTCTGTGTGACAGAACCTGATATCCAAATGTAAAATCTGCATCAACTTTTTCTGGAAGAAATAAAAACTGACCTTCAAATGTATTTTTTCTTCATTACTTTTTTAACACTGCTCTAGTAAACTGTTTTTCTTCCTTAAGCTATAAAATTATATCCATGATAACGAGAAGCTGTTTTTTTTCCCCCCCCCAATTAGCCACGAACACATACTTCTTGTTATGCTCTCCTCCACTGGGAGGAAATGCAGACTTCTCTCAGAAAAAGCTTGAGACCTAAGTCTTAACAAAAATGACTTTCAATGTTAAGTTTTAAGATTAAAAAAAAAACAAAACACCAACAAAAACCAAACAAACAACAAAACCAAAACCAAACCCACAACCAACCAACCACCTTGTTTCAACAAACATCAATTACTGCAAACAGAGCAGATAACTATCCTTAGAAATACTTCTGCATGCCTGGCAGATGTGGCATACCAATGAAAAAGCACAGTATTTTGAAGGCACACTGACAAACATTGCTTACATTCACTAATCCAGTTCTCTGAAAATAACAGGGAAAATTATCTTTTACATTTTTACATATTAATACCACATTTAATTAAAAAAAAAAAAAAAAAACAAAAACAACAAACCCACAGTATCTGTTTTTAACCAGTAGATAATGGCTTCAGAACTTACGCACATCACATGACAAATAGTAACGAAATCAATTTTTCTTAAATGAAAATAGTGTCTAAGTGCAAAACTAGATTTATTTCTGTATGAAATTAATCCAGTTTTCTAAGCCACTTTTAGAAATGCATTTTATGTAAATGGGACAGGTACAGAAAACAATCAACTGACAAAAGAAACTTCTAAATCCAAGCCCATAGATGCTAACACTAACTATAATCACTTACTTTGGTTCAGTAACTTCAAGGGATTACAGTTATTTTGGGGGCTTTCTCTGAGGTCTTCGTATAACCTTTTCAATTTCTTTTCTGTTTTGAAATTGTTTGTATCTTTCTGCCATTGCAATAAGCTCGTTAGGAACTACCTGGTAAGAAAGCAGCACAAGAACAAGGTCAGTTTTAAATTAATTTGAATGTTTAGACTCTGATTTACAAAAATACTGATTTGTGTGTTCCCAAACTTGATTTTGTTATTTATCTGGCTCCTGTTACTTTTCAGAATGTCTTTTCTTTAGAGATACATAGTGAAATCTTTCTACATAAACTTATACTGAAATACACTGCAAAAACAATCAGCAGTGTCCCTGGATTTTTCAATTACATAGGTATGTTAGTATCACCATATCTGATGACAACATATAACCAGCTAAGTAAAACACTTTATTTCAGATAGAAATGTATGCTTCAGTGATAATGAACAGCTGGAAAAAAAAATCCAATACCACTAAAAGGTGATACCACACTATATATATTTGAATGTTACACTATTAAGATGGGTATTAAATTCCGTTTGGATGTTTATGAGCCTCTGAAGAAAGAATCTGGTTCTTAACGGAAGCATTGCCATAGGAAGGGTTCTCACATGGATAAAACAAAGCTAAAAGACAAGAAAAGAATGGCAGGAGAAAGCAGTTTTTTGGCACGCTTGTAATTATGTGGAATAGGCGAGTAGTATCATCAGCACACTTTGTCCCCTTGGAGTTACTCACGTTCCTAAGGACTGAGGCCAGATGCAAAAAATTACAGACAGACTTTATTAAATTGAGTGGCACTGATCATTGAATGAAAGGAAAAAAGCCCACATACCATTCTTGCAGATCATGCAACAAAGGCAGTGTCCGACAAGTCATCTTAAGCCAGGTGAGGCAGAATACAGATATCAATGCATTGTTTACTGCAAAAAGCAGGACAGGTGACTGTACTGTCAGAAGAGGTTTTATATCACTAATCTATCAAAGCCAGCCTGCTTCAACAATCTGCTATAGCCTGTAGCCATGCAGCATGTAGAAAATATTCAGTACAGAAGCAGTTTCCTGACCAGAGAGTGAATAGCAAGCTCCTGCAGTGCACGTGAGCATGGTATTAATGTGATTTCTCAGCCTCTGCCGTTTGTCCCTCCAGGAGTGGCACCAGTACAGTACAAACAAATTTAAATACTGTTAAGTCTCCACAGAAACAGCTAGACCTGGCAATATTTGAACAGGTGAAGAACGCAGCCAGGACAAAGGGCCTGGTGGAGCAGGAAGCTGTAATTCCTCCAGTTCCAACTTCTTTTGTCAGGCTTTGTAATTCAGCAATGCTTGCCACTTGCTATTAGAAACTTTTTTTTAAGCTGGCATGAGCATCAGCTCCCTAGAACGTATTTTATCTGTTGGATTGCTCTTACTTGTAAACAACTGCCCTGGCTGTCAGAGTCCACAGAAATGGATGCCCATGGAACAGTCTCTTCTGCCTAAATTTTAGACATTGTTTAAAAGTAAAGAGAAAAATGAAGCATCTCTCTAGCTCAAAGTCAGTAGACTTCTATCAGTAGAAGTAGTGAAACAACATTACTATCCCGTTGAAACACTGGATGATTTTCTTCCTCAGTATCAGATCAGACCCTTCCTTGCAGCATGAAACAGAATTTATTCCAACTAAAATTGCAACAGATTCTTGCAAGAGTGTTTTTTGAGCAGGGACAAGGAAAGAGTGGGAAGAAGCTAGGATATGGAAGACATAAATCTCAGTGAAGTAATATCCAGCATCTAGTGGTTTGGTAAGATTTTTACATGGACAATCTTTCTATCTGCTAAGCTTTAAGGCTAGGTAGTCCAAATGAGAAAATAGAAAAGGATAAAGATGCCATAATTTCTACGTTACACACTTGGTATTACAAAGATCTATGTTTTTTCTACATGATTTCTTAATAAACCTGTTCGTGCTTCTTAATAAACTTTATACATAAAGATCCTTGCACCATGATACAGAAATGTTTCTGTTGTAGCTGGTTTTCTTTTGGGAGATTATCTGTATATTCAAAATCATGGAGAACATCTGGCTAACAAATGCATCTTGTTTTGAAATTGAAATATTCTGAACCCTCAGCCCACGTTTTCAGTTGCTCTCCTTCCCCTTTACACGCGCTTCAAGATTGAAATAATGATATTTTCATTATGAGGAAAAAAAAAAACCTGATCGTACAGATACTTCTATCAGCTGTAACTAAAAGTTTGACAATAATGTTGTGACTAACAGTTACCCCTGAAAGTAAGGATTCAGAGATGCTCTTTTCGCCTCTGAACTCACAAACTATCACATGTTAAAAAAGTGTGGGAACTTCATAGCCTGCAGCGGGAGACAAGGCATGGATGGTAAGAGCCAATTCAGAATCCAGAACAAGGCACCTCTAAGTTCTATTTAAGTGGCTTCAACATATCATTACTGGTTTAATCCCTTACATTTTCTATGAAAAATCAAAAACAAAACAAACAAAAAACCCAGTCCAACCAAACAAACTAGAAAACCCAAAAACCCCCACCAACAAAAAACCAAACCAAAACAACAAGACACACCACAACACCAACTTCCCCAACCAACATCAAACCCCCCCAAAACAAACTGCCCCCTAACCCCTGCAACTTTAAGAAATTATTAGGAGACCATTTTTGTTTCTTTCACACCCCCCCACCCTCCCTCAAAAGCACCTTATCAGTTTTGCAATATATGGCATAACATCTTTCAAAGAAGAGTTGTAAACCATAAGATTTAGGTGAAGTTCTAACTCAGGGTTTAAAGTTTGAGTAAGTGTCCACAATAACAACCACAGGTCCTAAGTAAATGCAATTTAATTTGTACTCAAAACTCCCATCTCCCAAATTAAAAAAATAAAAAAAATGAAAATGTCAACTGAAGTCTGGGCATGAACTGGGGGTTTACTATAAATCAGGCAAAATACTGTTTGTTACAGCAATAAACAGCAACATAACTGTCTCTGACTTCTCAGATATGGTAGCAAGAAAAAAAATGTTTATTTTAAAGAAACAAATCCCATTTTAGTCCTATTTCCCATAATATTTACAAACATCTGCAAGAAAGATAGCTTAGAAAAGTACATGCAGATATAGCAACTGTCAGATATAATAAACTGAGATAGTTGAGCTTCTTCTGATATACATATTGTTAATATTTAAACTGCTAAACAAGAACATTGGAACATGTGCCCAGAAGTGAAATGCTGGAATAAAATACTATGAAATAAATTAGATCCTATTATTCCTCTGCAGACCTCTCTGTGCGTGTATGTTAATTACTTTTTCTTTGGAAGTGGAAGGCTTTGATTAAAGTTTGCAGTTCTTTTCTGGAACTCATCTGTAAGTAAAATACAACTAGGGATATCCAGGAAAAGAGAGACTTCAATATCCATTTTTTTCCCAAGACACTACGAACACCACTTAAACCTTTCTTCATGGGACTCATGAACTGTTTCAGGTGGTAACCCAGAACCATTATGAATCTTACCCAGTAAGACGTATTCTTACTTGGTTTGCTCTTTCGAGAATTTCAATCAGCTCAGATGCAACCCTCCAATCATTCTTAGTGACAAGCGTTACTGCCTCCCCAGTACGTCTAAACAAGGAATGAAATAACTGTTGATCTTCAAAAGCACTGCTGCTAGGCTTTTCCTACTGACCTATACGGTAATAAATTGTACTACAGGCAATATGATTGAATCGGTAGATAAAAACTGGCTTGCAAATTTACTACACACGTGACAGAAAGCAGTTTCATAAAGATCAGAATATGGCAATTCACCTAAAAAGGAGCAAAGGCACGACTAATTTAGACAATAAACCTAGCATAAAGACACCATATTTAAATATGAGGAGACATGCATTCAGGTCATGATTAATAAACACACAAGAGAAAAATCATGCTTGTGCCAAACTGGGAAAGCAGCATTTGAAAGTCCTAACACCAAACTACATCACCATGATAGGCTGAAAACTTTGACTTTATCTATGTTTTTTTGTTGGTGTTTTTTTTTTTTTTTTCTTTTTTTTCTTTTTTTCTTTTTGCCCAGTGGGCTGTCCAGGAAACTAAAGAACTCAGTGGCTCACACAGAAACAAACAAGGAAGTGACATTTCAGAATATCTACACAGAAGTTGTTTTGAACTGTAATTATTCCCCACATTTAAACCAGCTTTCAAACATCCCTTACTCCCATCCACTTCAATGAAATAACAGAAAAGTGGAAAACTTGTTTGCCTTAAATTTAACAGTGAACTAATTTCAAAACATAAAGCAGAGTGGTGTTATCTAAAACATACTTTGATAGACTGTGGCGTCTTCTTCCCTCACTCCACATCGCCTGTAGTTCTAGCATTTGACAAAACAAACACCTATGCAGTGCATAAAATACTGACAATGTATTACTGTTTTCTTGTAAACACTTACCCTGCTCTTCCAGTACGACCTATTCTATGAACATATTCTTCAATATTGCGAGGGAAGTCAAAGTTAAAAACATGAGTAATATCATGCACATCAAGGCCACGGGATGCTAAGTCAGTAGCTACCAGTATTCTGACTTTGCCTAAAACAAGTACACCAGAAAGAAAATGGGAGATTATGGAATAAACAGAAAATATACTCCAGTCTATTGGTTTTCTCATGTATAACACACTTATTCTTAACATATAAAGAAAAAATATGCCTGTTGCACGTCACACTGAGCTAGCTTCAAATGCAAGGTAAGAACTCAAAATGTCATTTTACTATTTGTATTTCACAAGCAGAACAGCAGGGTGCAGGAGAACCAAGAAACATGCCTACCTGATATAAAGAGTCTGTGAAAACAGAAACTTCAACAACTATATTCTCAGCTGGAATCCTTATCATAGGACTAAAACTTTGTTTTATTAGCATGGGATGTCATAACTCCAAAGTATAACCCAACTGGCATAATCAAGAGCAGAACTGTTTCACTGAAAGCACCATCATTTGACACCTAATTGTTCTGCAAACTAACAGAATATTGACTTTTCCACAGAGATTTCAAAAATAAAATAAACCTTATTTTAAATTATTTAACTCCTGGACATTTCAAATTTTATTGAAGAGCAAACTCTTTCTGATTTTTTGTTTGTCAAATTAAACACATCATTCAGAGCTCTTTAAAATTTTAATTTCTATGGTACTGAAGAGACATGGCACTTACAAACAGACAAAGTTGTGCATATGACAAGCTTTAAAAACCTTGGTAAAAATATTTAGGTATAAACATACCTTTCTTGAAGTCATCTAAAGCCTGTTCTCGATCACACTGTTCCCTGTTACCATGAAGTGACTGTACTGGAATTCCTTGGAGACCAAAGTCGCTTGCTAAATCATCAGCTCTAGGATTAAATAAAACAATGGTTCTTAAAAGAGTTAAAAAAAAAAAAAAGTGCAGCATCCTGAATTAGATCCTAAAGATAACAATGTGACAACAAAAGCTAAGCCTGTGCCCAAGAGCAAAACCTCACCTAGGTCAGCTGGTATTTATTACAAACCAGTATGAAAGTAAGACTATTCCTTACATATATGTTTGTCTTAATTTATATATGAGAAATCTCTGCTGATCACTCAAAAAGCTGAGGTATGGAACAATGTCTACACCCCTGCCACCAATCAGCTCCCGTATGCACCAGCTGCATATGCAAGTACATCACATCAATGTATCCATTGTGAAATTGAGATTTACCACCACCACTAATGATATTAAACAGGATACAAACTACCAATCAGTCTGGAGGAATGAATAAATAAATAAATAAGTATCCTACTACTACCAGCACATTGCTGACAAGCACTATTACACTTGGTAATTATTATGTGACCTAAGATACTATCCAGTACTTCAGTTAGAAAAAATGAACAGATATAATACTGGGAAGTGATTACATACGTAAATTTTTTTCCCACAAAAATGATGACCTTATCTTTTGGCTTCATAGAGTCAATGAAGTACTGCATGAAAGCTCTCTTTTCCTCCTCAGCAAGAACAACAACTCTCTGTTCTACTGTATTTACTGCCTGTTAAAAGGCAAAAAGAGACGTTAAGTAGAAACAGAATAGTATTTTTTCCTGTTACTTCCCATATTACGACATTATAAAAATAGTAATACGATACCACAAAAAACTATTTTAAAACCAAAATATCTATGAGTTTGGAGTTCAAACAATGCAGATATATTTCCTAGTTGCTTTAGGAGAATAATAAAAATTTATCTTTAAGCAATTTGCCAGATCATATATTTGCAGAGATGGTACAGATGAGCAGGCTAGTGAGGTAAAATAAATATTCATAATATTACTGAAAATTAGACTAAAGTAGTTAAATTTGAGTATATTTTACATTAATCTAGCGCAAGCTGGAATGATGTCAGTCTTACTTGAAGGGACAAGCTTTTAAAGAAGATTCTGTATTCTATTTGAAATGATCAGTTCTGTCCAATTCTTCCAATAACAGTGCGTTAATAAAAAACTTTACTCCATTATATTTGAAGGTCGCCATAGAATGTCTGAGTATTGTATATGAGTAGTATAAAGGTTTAGACATTCTCAGGGTTCTGCGTGATAATCTTGTGACAAGGGTTGAAGAATCGATCAAGTACATAGAAAGATTCTCTCTCTACATGGGAACCCTTCCCTCCCACCCGCCTCAGAGGCCACCTCTTCAGTTAAGAGAAGCTCCTATAAGAGAGAAAAATGCATTAAACAAGAGAGCTACAGTAGCAGCTGATATCTTTCAAATTCTGATCCTCTGTCTTTGACAAGCAATGCCCTTTGACAAAGGGCATAGTTCTGAGCAGAAGAGATTGAAAGTACATCTTCCCCCCATTTCTACTTAAAAGTGTATTGGATACCAAGTTTCCTCATTCCCTATCACTAAAAAAGTGGAACTGAAAAAGAAAACTTCATAATTTAAGAACAGAACTCAAAGCAATCTCTGGGCCATGATGTGGAGATCTTAGAAGAACTACTATTTCTGTAAATCGTGCTGGTACTGAAGCCAACTATACATAGCTGCACAAGTATGACAAGTATGCAACTACATCTACATATAACTTTTGGACTTCAAAGACAGTTCTTACTCTAATATGTTCCTGCTCTAGACAGGTGCCCTCCAGGAGTTTAATACAGAGCTTTCACTCTCTCTGAGAAAGCAGCAGGTGAGAAACACAGATCCAGATAAGGATCTGTACACATCAGAAGACCTTTAGAAGAAAAAGTAAGGAACAAGAACTTGCTGAACAAAAGAGAAGGCTGCAAAAACAGGGGTTCAGTAAAGAACACGTGGCACTGCAAAGTATAGTGTTCAAATTTCAATTTGATTGATCCTTGTCACTTGCGACATTGTCTAACTCAAGATCTAGGACTTCAAGATGTTGTCACAGAAACAGAAGAACAAAGTTTTTTTTTTTATTTTTTTTTCCAGTTCTTTCTAAACTTTTAATGAAGCTTTAAAATAATAACATGGAGCTGTTTTTTGAAAGTTTGGCTTGATTTTAAAGTTACATGCATTTACTTAAATACAGTTATGAGCAAAGTATTTCCTGATTTAACGGTAGGTTTGCCTCCAAAAGAACAAAAAAATAACACAAAACAAAAAACTGAACGGAACAACTTACTGCTAAGTCAAGAGTGCCAACATATACAATCATAGGATTTTTCAAATAGGATTTTGCTAGGCGACGAACACCATCAGGCCAAGTAGCACTAAGCAGGAAGCGAAAAGGAAAACACATACGTAAGAATAGAGCACAAAATCTTCTCCAATTCACTAATTTTATCACATTCTTCTTTCTTTTCTTATGCACTAGTGAAACACTCAAATATGCAGTAACAGTAGTGATCTTATATCACTTAACACTTAGAATAATCTTAAGAAGCTATTAGCAAACAGCGCTCAAGCTTTAAAGATAACTTTCTAGGTTAAAAGTACAGGCAACAATTATAGAGCCTTTCTAATGAAGCTGAATGTGAGTTTAGTAGTTCAATAATACCTAATAAGCAAGTTTCTAGTCTGTTTTTCTCTCTAAAACAATAGCTCCCAGACAAAATATAACAACAAAAATTCTTAGGATATTCTATTGTTAAGCTCCCAAAAACTGCATAATTTCAAAATTAATCCAGGTACAGACTAGCACAGATATTGATCAGAAGTCTAGGACACACATTTGGTCCCAGATGGAAAAGTGGAAGTTGGCATTTCAAATTCATATGGTAAATTCTAGAACTCCCAGGACACCTTCCTTTTGGGGAAGAACTCAGTGGTTTTTACAGTTGATGTAAAACATCAGAAAAGGGGTATGAAATGAAAATAAAATAATAAAATGACTCATTAGGTGTGACTAGACAGAATAAGAAAGACCGGTGCCATTCCCATTTAGGTTGGTAAAAGTTATTAAAACTGACACATTTGTTTTGAAATTAACTTGTTCAATAACTTTATGTTTACAGTGTCAAGTACCAAGCACTACTGTTTACATACCTTGTCATAACAGTTTGTCTGTCAGGCCGCACATCTATTAGGATCTTCATTATCTGAGGTTCAAAACCTATATCCAACATTCTGTCAGCCTCATCTAAAACCTGCTCAAAACAAGGTTATTTAATAAGATGTCTAGCTCTTTAAATAAGGGTTTCAGCAAGATATTACATAGCAGACCATTTTAATAGTAACAATTTTAACTGCAGAATCCACTCCATAATGGAGTGTACAACAAGTGGTTTCCTCCTGTTTTACATCACCATAATTTTCAATTTGATAGGTAATTCTTTTTAGTAATGTCATATTATATTATATTATATCCTGCACATAATGAAACATCTGATTTTGGTTACATACATATTCATTGCTTTACAAAGCACTGTGTGCTTGTAGTATGACCATACTTCACCTTGATAGAGAAAGATGTTCCCATAGAGCTCAAAAAGCAGGTTTTCAGGCCCTCTTCCCTCCTGCTTTGCAATTACATGTTACTCTTCTACACAAGGCTACTCTCCTGTCTTCCAGTAACATTGTTCTTTTTACAAATGGGAAAATTTCTAGTTTCTTGCCAGTAAGTTCACAACTATTAGCTAGAATTGGAACTAACTTGTTACAGCATAATGAGTATTTAACCCTTAGAGGGGAGTGGGAGTGGAGGTAAGGGAGGGAAAGAAGGCCAAATTGTCACACTAGGCAACAAGTCACAAGTTAAACAGGTAACTCAGAAATAATTTGAATATATGAATGTATTTTACAAGACAGCAATGGTTTTAAGCTTCCAGCATAGCAAAAGGCAAGAATGAAATGAAGACATAAGGATTCATAACAACATTTACAGGGCTATTTTCCCACTGAGATAAAAATAAAGTCAGTCACTCAAACACTTAAATATCTAACTGCCTGTGACTCTGGTGCTTACTGCACAAGTTCTTATTAGAATTTGAGTCACTGGTAACCTTTAAAAGAAAATGAAAAGGCAATTGGGAAAAGCATTTTATCCATTAATAGTTGATCCTGACAAAATGAACTTTAAAACAGCAAACATTACTAATACGAGGTAACAATTTAGCATCTTTAAAATGCTTACTGTGCTAGAATCCTATTATATTTTTTCCTAGGGAATATCTCACATCTGCAATGCAATTATGGTAAGTATGAACCATCTCTCCGACACCAATCTCAGTGTTAAGATGTACTGTAATTTAAGATTTAAAAAGTTTAACGAAAACTTAATTAAAGCTTAAGTTCACACTGAGTCAACCATTTCTCAACTGGTACATTACTCATTCCATATCAGCTACTTGCCAAGTATGTTATGCTCTTCAAATTTATGAAGTTGTTCATCTGAAGATCATTCAGTCTGCCAGGAGTAGCAATAACAATATCCACACCTTTGGTAACCACGTCTATCTGTCCTTTTCGGTCCCCACCACCATATACACAAATACTGAAAGATAAAATGTTTTACAGAAGCAGTATATTAAGGTTCAATAAAGTCAATCTTTTTCAAATAAATACCACCATGTTAGTTCATTTTAAAAAGTATCATCTGGTATTACCATGAGGAAGGAAAACAGTAAGTGCGACTGACAGCATCACAATAAATAATGGACTTAACACTGAATGATACTCCCTCAATGGTTCAGCAATAGCTTTCTCCTGAAACTGCAGTGGAAGTAATGACAAAAGGGAGATAATAGCTATTAAGCTATGAGTGTGGTTTGGGTTGTTCTGAAAATATTCACACCAGAAATAAACGAACGTATGAAAGGATGCATGATTTTCTAAATAGTACCATGAGAAGTCAGATGTTTTGCTGTTAAATCAATCAACACACTCAACAGGGTATTAGGCTTACACACAAACTTAACATGCTCTGTAAAACTCCTTAGTATTTTGGGTAAGGAAGTTTAACATGCATTTCAGTATTTGATGACAACAAGACTAATTCTGAATGCTATACAAAGTTATCAGAGAAGCCTAAATGTAAGTTCCGGAGTACAGTAATGTCTGTTTAATAGCTTAAATGAAGATCCACACTCTCAGCAGGTCTGTGGATGAAACCAAATTGGGGGAGCACCCGACACACTAGAGGGCTAGGCTGTTACAAGAAGCACGAAAGGCTAGAGAAATGGGCTGATGGGAAACCCATGAAGATTAACAAAAGTAAAATGGGGATGGAATTACCCCATGGCTGAGGGCCAACATGACAGAAGATGTCTTTGCAAAAAAGATTCGGCTGGGCAAGACACTGAACCTCATTCAGCAGTGTAACCCCAGAGAAGAGAAAGCCAGCTGTGTACTATTGAGAAGGTAGCCAGCAGGTTGGGAAAACTCATTATTTCCCTTCACAGTACTTGTGAGACCACATCTCAAGAACAATATCCAGGTTTTTGTGCCCCCTGCCTCTGTTACAAGACAGACATATCCATACTGGAGCAAGTCCAGCAGGCAGCTACCATGATGGTCAAGAGATAAAGTGCATGACGTGAGAAGCTGGTAACCAGACTTGTTCAGCCTGAAGAGAAGGATCAGGGAAATCTTATTGCTGTCTATACCTAACAGCAAGGTGCTCAGAAGACACAGCCGAACTCTTCTCAGCTGTTCACACAGAAGGGCAAGAAACAAAGCTACAATGCAGAGAACTCCAACTATATAAGAAATAGATTTTCACTATGGAAGTAGTCAAAACAGGCATTCTAAAAACTGGGAAAATATGAGTTCTGCATTTACTACCTTCCCCTCCTCTCTTAGCGAATGCAATTATTTTAGTAGGTGAATTAAGCCATAAGTGGTAGGAAAAAACATTACTTAACAAGCAAGTGAGAAGTAAGATTACCTTTTAATTCCTTTGTATGCGTACTTCGAACACTCTGCCTCTACCTGAAGTGCCAGTTCTCGAGTGGGAGCAAGGACTAACATTCCTGGGCCCCCACGCTGATCTTTGGATCTGCAATAAAGCATCTTTAGAATGTGGGTATATAAGCCCAGGCAAAGTCCCTCACACATCTGACATAAAATATTTTTATACTGTTTTAGACTTTCTCAGTACACTGCTATCAACAGAACCTATGGTGTCAAATTTAGTACTTATTCCACCATGTTTATAATTTTTTTCTGATTTATACCTTCCTTACTACAAAACCATCACATGGTGGGTGTGTTGGGGGGAAGTATCCACAGCTGGACAAGTCAGACACGTGAGCAGTCCTTACATTGGTTGTGAAGTCAAGTGAATGAATCCAGGCATTAAGTACGCTAACGTCTTCCCGGAACCAGTCTGTGCTATACCAATAAGATCAATTCCTTGGAGTATGATCGGCCATGCCTGGGACTAACATAAAACAACAAGTACTTAAAGGTACTTTTCTCTTTAGCTTCAGTTAAAGAGTCATCAGAATTGAAGAAATACCTGAATTGGTGTAGGCTTTTGAAAACCAACTTTTCTTATATTAGCCATGATATCGGGATAATGCTCAAATACATCTTCAAATTTACAAACAGGATTGGGAATGCAGCGCTTTTCACCTTCTTTTAAGTCATCACAAATTATGTTATTATTTTCTTTCCTGTGTAGAAGTAAAGAAGTGCAATTGCTTTAAAGTCTCATTATCTGAAAAAGTAGAGCTAACTCAGAAGACTGCCTTTTTCACTCCTCTTTTTTTTTTTTTTTTTTTAATTCCCAGAACAATAAGAAACAAGTTCAGGGTCTTGAGAATGAGACATAGCTATTCTTCTAACTTTTAAGAAAGACTTACTACAGAAACACTTCTCCTGGAGGCATTAATTACCATTCTTTCTTAGGAATGACTAACTTGAAGTTACATACGGTTGTTAACATGAACTGCAGTGCTGTCTTATCAGACTTCAGCTATACTCTATTACAAATTAAGTAACTGTGACTAGTTTTAAACCTACAGACGACTCAGAATTCAGAGTAATGGATTGAACTTCTTTGTGAGAACCCTATATTCTGACCAAAACATTCCCAAAATATTTTCAGAGCAGCAACCTGGATGCTCTAGAAAACAGAAACAAAACAGTTTTAAAAAAGCAGTAAGACAAACTCCATAAACAAACCTCCAAAAACCAACTAACCAAAACCCTAAACACAACAACGCACACAAAAAGCTACATTAAAAACTGAGGTTCTGAGGCTAAGAAGTATTAATATGAGTAAGTAGTTTATCTTCATTCCAGTCCATGCTCTCCTGAAGATTCCATTCAGCAAATAGTTTTACTTCAGGCGGGGTGTGGGCTATGAAAAGAATGAGTAATTCAACCTCTCCCCATGTTTACAAAAATAATCTATTTTTTTAAATGACTTTTTTTCTTTAAAGCAAAGAGATGAAAAAGGACAAACATTCCTTTATCACTCAAGTGCTACTCCCCAATGCATGTTCTGAACCTATAAAACAATGTTCTGCTACTCTCAACTAGCTCTAACAATAGCATGTACATATACTTTAAGGAAACAGGTGTCAATTCCATGCTTTGCTCACTATGACAAGGTTTCTCTGGTGGGCATGAAAGCAAAAAACAGATGTCATGCAAAAAGTAAAGCAATAAAAGGTAACGCTTCAAAAATATTCACCAATTTCATTAAAACTATTGAAAAGGGGTGAAACTATCACCAGTGCCTGAACAGAATCACCTGAAACAGATGATCTGTTTTTCTTGCAATGTAATGATTTAGATTGTTGGATCAAAATGAACAGATACAGTTAACTGAGGTATGTACTCACAAGGATGTACTTGTAAAGACAAGATAGACAGAGAGGAAGACAACAGTAAAGAAGCTGAAATTTGTTTTGAAGGTAATATTTGACTAAAATATACAGGGGAAAAAAATAACAGCCAAGAGGTATTCAACATGTGAGCAATCATATTTGGAAGGACCTAGAATGTGTGAACATGCTGTCTCATGAAATTCAAAGAAACAGCCAAAACCCAATCAACTTTTTCCCTTCTGAAAGTCAACTAGATCAAACACCTTTAGAGAAGCAGTTAATCCCTAAAGTTAATTTTCCAAGCAACTAATAATAGCTTATCTGCTAGTTACTGTTTAATTCTTAAGAAAGAGTTCCTAAGAAGATCTAAGTTATTACAAGATGCTAACATTAATGCTTCTGTCTCAGTATTTCATCTCCCAATTTTTGGGCTTTCTACATTAAGTTACTCTTACCAAGCAGATGATTCCCTATGGAAAAGAAAGATCTTACCGCCACAGTTCCACTTCTTCTTGTGACATTGATGCAGTCTGGGACAATTCTTTATAGAAGTTTTTCTCAATTGGAGGCAAGTCTTAAACAATCAGAAAAAGTAAACTTCAGTCAGTAGGAAATGCTACAGATTCAGGGTAATTCTACTAAAGCCAAAGATTGAAATCCCAAAACCCAGAGTGCCTTGTACTAGGAGACTAGTCAAAAGTGGAGGAAGACTATTGTTACTCATGCAGAAGATGAAGGCTGAGACAAACAAGTATTTGCAGAAGACCTACTTCCCCACATTTGAAGTTCTAAAGTAATCTCTAACATATATAGTATAATATTTAACAATTCTCCCATTTTTGCTGTGGCCACACACAAAACATTTTCAAAGGGTGAAGTCAAACTTGCTACTCAATTGGTATTCTGACTTCACACAGCAACTACAGTGTCCTCCATGACCACACTGAGAAATGCTGACATGGTCACTTCACTGTAAATATTTAACTAATTTGGATACTGAAGGATTCAGTCATCTCAAAGCAAAAATAAGTAACATTTAAACATTCAGCACATTTATCAACACAGACAAGTACCATACCATCAAAATTTTAAAACTAACCTGCCCACTTCATAGCTTCATATTTAGCTCTGTTTTCTCGAAGAGAAGCCCAGTCAATCACCGGTTTCTTTGGGTTATTTTCAGGCTGGATAATGTCCGAAGTTTTTCCTGCAAAGTTAGTACCAAAATGCTGTTGCTTGATGGAATCTGTTGCAGGGCGGGAGAGAACCCTCACTCAAAACAAACACCTTATTTTCTTTTTCTATTATAAGGCCTCTTATGTGACTTTAAATAGACATGAAGCATTTAAATAGAAAATTCTTTCCTAGGTCTTACCCTGAAACACTGGCAAAACCTGTACAAACCCAGTTCTGATAAAAAAGGAAGCATTTCAACACCTTTAGCTACTTAAAATAACGACAGGTTCTGAAATGCTGCTCCTCCAGCTATAAATAAGGCTTGTTGTGCAGCAGGCTTTTGAAAAACTTGTGAACCCAGTAGGTGATATGCAGACAGAAAGCTTATTTTTAACAGCTACAAGAGCAAGGTTTACTTTTAAAACATCCAACAACATCATAATGAAGTCTCAGTGTAGTTGCACTCTATACTCCTTTTTTTGATGAGGTTAACATTTCTTAAGAAATAAATGTTTTACACTGAATATCTAAATGGCAACACAATTATATATTAGTGGAAAAGCAGGAAACATGGGGTAAACACAGTCACACCATACTAAGGAAGTGTTAACTATTTCTAGCCTCTTGAAACATACTTGTCCACCTCCTGAGGCACTTCTAAAAATCAAAACTCACAACTACTCCAATTCCTTATTCTAACACTGGAACACAACTCTTGGATCACTTCTAACTCATCCATGCCTCAGATCAACAACTACAGATGTTGTTTGACTTTGCAAGACATCACTGGTAGCACATACAAAACCAATACCAGTAACATAAGCAGCATCTTAACATACAATCATTATTTATATATCCATGTAACAGACAAAGTTTACACAAGAAAGCCTAGTAAAGTGAGGCATGATGCCCAACACCAAATCTTAAACACTAACTTCCTATGAAAGTAGTAAGAAGTCAGCATCATCCATGCTTTATAGACTACATTTATAAAAGCTTATTGAATTTTAATACTGCACAGATACTACATTAAAACTTAAACTACAATCAATACTTGTATTTTGGGAGAATGAGACTGATAATCCAAGCGACCAAGTACTATAACATTCTGCATTCATTAAAATTGTTGAAAACATACAGGAACAGATTTTCACAGAAGCCTGGCAGCTTGAAGAGGGGTAAACTGTTCATAGCTAAGAAAGGAGGATGTCTAGATATTTCTGTTTTAAGGAAGAGTGCCTTTGTCCAAGAGCAAGGTGAAAATTAATTCCTTTTGGTAAAATACTATGAATATAAAAGCACTTCAGCCAACTGCAAAATATACGGAAAGACAATCCACAGTACTGGGGTTTTTTTAAAATTTCTTACCTCTCTCAGTCCCACCTCTAATGCAGTTTTGTCTACATTTTGTAACAGCATCATCAATCAACATCTTGGCTTTGTTTTGCACAGCAATGCTGCCAAAAATCTTTACTTCAGCTTCACAGGTTCCCTTTATGACCTATGTTAATAAAAACCTACTGAATTTTTTTAATACTACAAAGACAAACACTATGTAAGAATATATATTGAAAACATTTTTTTCTTTTAATTTGGACTCTTCTTCCCAGGAAAAGGCCCTTTAATTCCTTTTTCCTAAAAGAAAGTGAAATAAATGCACGCTTAAGGAAAAAAAAATATCAGCAAGCCTTTTGTACTTTCACATACCAGTCAAGCTGCACCCTCAATTCCACTTCTTTTTTATCACTTCTTGTAAAAGAGTAGAATTATTACAGATATTACAACACCCTTCAACTTGCTGCAGTAACTCTGATTTACATGGAAGCAAAACTAAGTACGTTCCCACCAAAGTCCAGGCCTTGATGACACACAGCACATGGTACCTTTATCCTGGAACCCGAAGAATCCTCAAGTTCTCTTATTTTACTTCCACCCCGACCTGTTATAAAGATACACTGCGGTTATTACAGAGATTTAAGCCAAGCTGTCAAAAACTACACATGGTAACTGTAAGAATTTTGGTTGTGACCAAAACTTAAGACTTTCATATGAGTGTACACATCCATAAATAAAAGAACTTGTGACACCAAACTGTTGGAAAATGCAGGTAACTTTTTTTTGCAATTAACCAAGTGCAAGGTGCATCAGGGGAGGGGGAAGCCCCTCAGCTGAAGAGATGTACCAGCAAAAACAGCTCAAGAGACACCCTTCCTCCATGTGTCTGGGGAGGGGCTTTGTCCCACTTACAGACTGCTGACCATGAGAAACAGGTATTATCAGCCCTAAGGAAAAGCATCCTGCCACCCTCAGCCAAGAGAGATGTAAGGGAATCACGGGGGGGTGAGGCCCTTCCACGGCCAGCGAGGCAGCGATGCCCCTCCTCAGGGCGCTGAAGGAGGGACAGGAGCCCACACGGACCAACCTCTCCGTGGCCGGGTCCTCTCCTCCTCCCCCCACCGGGTTACCTCAGCAGGCCAAGCACGCCGGGGGGCAGGGGTGGGGGGCGGCCGTTATTACCTATAAGAGCCCCGACCAGAGCGCTATCAAGTTGGAAGCAGAGGGGCTCCACAGCATCCCAAGCTTGGCTGGTGGCAGCCCTCGGCGGCCGCTGCCTCGCTGCCCCCGGTGGGCCGCGGGAGCCTTCGGCACCTCGAGGCGGCCGCTCCTCCTCTCCGAGGCTGACTGCCGCCTCCTGCCGCCACTGGGCACCGCTCCGTCCCCCGCCGCCCTCCGCCGAGGCGCGGCTCCGCGAAGGGGTCGCCACTGGCCGGCCCAGGCGCCCGGCAGCAGACGCCGGCCGGCCCGCCGCGCCGACATGTTCGTCGCTGCTCGCCTCCCAGTCCGACATGGCGGCGCACCCGCCTTCCACCGTGGCACGCCTTGGCGCGCCTTGCGCTAGGGGCGCGCTGATTGGCCAGGCCGAGCCGCTCTCGAAGCCGTGATTGGCTGGCTCGGCGCGGCCGCGCGGGGGTGGGAGGAGCTGTGGCCGTTTCCTGCCGAGGCTGAGCTGCCCTCATCAGGGCCGCGGGGTTCCGCGTCCCCTTTCTCGTCCATCTCTTCTCATCCGCCGGCCTCGGGGCAGCCCTGGGTGGGCTCCACTGAGGAGGAGGCGGTGTTTTAGGACGGGGGGGGGGGCCGGGCCACGGACTCGGTCCTGAACGTTTGGGAAACTCTCGAAGTCTGTAGGCGGGAAGAAGCAGAGTTGGGGAAGGCGAGCCGCCCTAGGGGAGGCTGGGGAGTGAGGGTGGCACTGAGTAATTTTGCCAAGTGTCTAGGCTCGTGTCATGCTGATACGTTGCAGCCTTAATTTTTTAAGGAAGTCGTCTAATCTCTAGCCTTAATGACTAAATGTACTAAAGCTGATACAGTTTTGGAAACAACCACAGAATGGCTGAGGTTGAAGGGACATCTGGAGGTCTTGTCCAACTTCCCAGCTCAAACAGGGGCACCAAGAGCCAGTTGCCCAGGACTGTGTCCAGGCGGCTTGCGAGTATCTCCAAGGATGGAGCCTCCACAACCTCACTGGACAACCTGCCCCTGTGCTCTGTCGCTGTTAGAGTGAAAAAAAAACACAAGAAACCTTAAAAAACCCCTAATGCTCACGTCTTTCCCCCTCCCTCCCCCCCCATTACACTGAGAATCTGCTAAATTTCCCTTTTAGGCATGGTATTGTATTTCTTTTGCACAGAGCTGAATGGTGAAACGTTTGTGTATGTGGTTTATGTATGTGTCTTTCTGGCTGCACCGTACTGCCTGTGCCTGACCATTGTGACCTGCAGGGTAATTCCCGTTTTAACACAAGGAGAGCATGCATATATGTCTGCCTTTCTACCTGTCCTGTGTTTATTCTTAGGCAGAGCTTGGCAGTGTTCACACAGCCTGTGGGTACAAATGTCTGACATGGAACATCTGCCTTTCTGGAGACTGCAACTTTAAATTTCAATATCTAAAATTATGTTAATCAGAGAGGTAAGGAGGTCACCTTCACATGGAAGTATCTTGCTCTGATTTTTAAGCCTCCATGGAGGCAGTGACTTCACCAGAAGAACAGGCTCTCTATATTTAACACTTTACACTCAAATACTAAAGCTTATCTTAAGCAGGACTGCAGGAAGAGCAAAGTAGGAAAAGAAGGCTGTAGGTTTGGTGCAGTAGCTTTCTAGAGCAACTTTCATGATTCAGTGCAGAGGAAAGGGCTTCACCTAGGCCTCAAGTTAAACTGAGGTAGAGGCTGGGCCTTCCCTGTTCCTTGCACAGGTCCCTGATTGCCAATCCTGAAGCAATTACCATTTTACTAACAATGAAGGCAATAGTAACTTCCAAAGTCATTTTCACAGAGGTACTGAAACAGCTGAAGTACACTCTACCGTAAACAGTTACCAGAAACTGAACATATCAGACTGGTTTGTGGGCATTTTATGTTAGTAAACTTCCTTTGTGTTGTTTTGGCCCATTTAATAAAAAATTACAAAACTTCAAAAGGAAAACAAATGAGCAAGTTTAAATTTTTTTCTTGCCTTTTATGTGCTCACACCATACAATCTTTTATGTATGGAAAAAACCCACTAAGCATGGTACTTTTCAAATAATTTTTATTAACAACAATATGGATTCAACTTTGTCAAGAAGTTACAATGTACTGGCTAATGTTGTTGCAGTGTCAGTGGAAGCGGACTTCGTGCTTTCTAAGCCTGTTACAAAACTCTTTTTATCTTTCTAAGAAGTCAAAAATGCTTCCAATAGCAGATGATATTGGATATGTCTGGAATTGTCCTATGTGTGGCCACAGCTGAATGAATGGCCACATTTGCATCCAGATGAATTAACAGGAAAATATTACATGCTTCCACTGACGCTGCAGGGGACAATTCTTATTTCAAAAACCAATTAACCTTTTTAGACAGTGACAGCACTTTGTGTGATGTTGTAATCCATTTGAATTAAGTTGATTAACACACTTGAAAAAAAAATGTGAAGCAGAAATATCTGGGGCAAATTCTTTTCTGACCTGTATTTCATTCAAACCTTATGAATCCAAAAGGATTGCATGACATATGAGTCAGGATAAAAGTGTGCCCAGAGAGGTAAGTTCATTCCTGGTATAGGTGGGTTCAGTTCCCTTAAGGTCAGTGGAACTGAGCCTGATTATCCCAGTGGAGGCTGAACTTCACCCAGTTGGGCAGTGAATTCATTGAAGTCAGTGAAGCCATCCAAGGATGAATTTAGCCTCAGGTGTTTAAACCCTTTTTTCGTTCCTTTGCTGTTATATTTTCTTTTCCTGCTTACTCCTCTTTTCTGATTATTCTCCTTTTCTCTGTGCTTTTAAAAAATGTCCCTTCTCTTCTTCCCTTTTTACATCAGTACTTTGTGCGTTATTTTTTTACATAGTCAATGTGACATGGGTAAATTCATCTAAGTATTAGTTTCCTCAGGAAATAACTGGAATATTACCATTTTCACTTTAAACAGATGCCCAACAAAATAAGGATTTGAATCTGAGCTCCCAATTCAAGAAAAATTCTTGAATTCAAGAAAAATTCTTGAATTCCATAGAATGAATGAATTCCATAGAATTTTTGCTTGAGTGAGGATTGCAGGTCCCAATCCAGAAATACTACTGTATATCAGATGTTCTACTATACATCAGCAATTCAGTATGATTTGACTTATCACAGAAGAGCAGGTGAATTACTCATCACCATACTATAATGAGAGCAGTCACTCTAAGTAGGATTATCTCAAAAACATATGGAACAACCGTGGGCACTGTGAATAAAAGTGTATGATCTTCACAATCTTGAACCCTAGGCTAAAACATCATATTCATATTTAAATAAAAAGTATAGATTATATAAGCCAGGAGCAAATACAAATTTTTAAACAAATAAGAATCATCAAAACTATTCTTTTCAGTTCTCTCTTCAATCAGATACAAGAAACATGCTGATCAGAAAACAGTTATTTGGATAAGGCTTAATTCCTGAAGCTCTTACATAAGTTCAGATTCTCTCTTCAACAATCCTTAGGTGGATTGTAAAACAGAAAAAGAATTGTCCTTTGTCCCTGCTCATGGAAAATTCTTATTAGCTGTCATGAGCTGGACTTTAACAAGCAGCTCAGGACAAGACTTGAAAAGCCAGACAGGTCCTCCTTTTGTGAAACCAATGAATGACTGTCAGTCATGACACTGTCTTTTAAAGAGAGAGCATAGAAACAGGAAACTCCTCATGAGGAAATATGAGCAAAGCTTATAAAAATCCAAACAAACAATTCTTCCTCTCCAGAATTTCATATATTCACTACTCTTTCTATTTTCTATCAATATTATGTTAAAAAATTCCTATATGATAAGACTTGCAGCTACAAAAATAATAATGGTGAGCATAAAAGAAAAAAAATTAGGATTTTAAACCATAATTTGAAAAGATACTATCTTCTGGATTTATTAGTACTTTGTAAAGACATTAACATTTTCATACATAATTTATAGAACTCATTCTTTTGTGCACAAAATTGTATTAAATAAATTAACTTAAAATTAGAAGGACTCAAGCATGTCATTTAAGGCAAAAATACCAAGTTTCCGTGAGATAAATTATCAGCAAAACCCAAGGCCCTGTTTCTGTGTGGAATCGGAACAGGCAGGGCCAATGCTCAGTTCTCCCACTGACGCCTTCCAGGCTCAGTGGGGGTGCAGCCATCTGCTCATGCAGATGAAGGTGGAAGAGTGGTGTCCAATTCATGATGCCTTGATTTTTCAATCTCATCAAGGAGGGGAAGGGAGTTTCATTACTGACACGGTTGCCATGTGCCCCGTCTCTTGCTCCTTAACTGAACCTAAGTGCAGGTTTATGCTTAGGCCAGCAGGAGGCTTTATATGAAAGGTAAGCAAGGCACCATAAACAGTCAGGAAAAAAGAAAGAAAAGCTTAAAAACGCCTTGTTAGTTTTTCAGTTTTGGATAGTACTTGAAACTTACAGATCCATCTGGGTAAACTGCAGACATTGAAATAAGTTAATAGTTAAATGAACTGAGATGTGGAAAAAACCCTATTTATCCTCACAAAACTACCGTTGCAATCAGGCTTTAGTATGATCAGACTGCACATAAAAGCAGGAAAGGCTGAATGTGGTAAATTATATGGCAAATCAGTGGTGAGGAAATTGTGCTTCAAGGTGTCTTTCAGGATTTAACAGCTGAAGTTTGCTCCGGCAAAAGCCATGGAACACAGTGTACCATCCGTGGACCCCATATAACGACACAATATATACACTCTACAGTTTGCATGTACTTTCACATAATAAGGTTGTCATGTAACATCCAGGAATACTTCTGTAAAGGAAATATGGAAGCAGAAATTACAATGGTTTCATAGTAAACAGAACAAGTCCTTCACAATACAATCTACAGCATTTAGCCACGGTTAAGACTGGAGTGACGTTTTTGATGCACATAGTAAGTTCCCAGGTCTGGGCCTTGAGAAAACACTGCCCTGAGTGAGCTGGCACTGGCACCCCCGTACATTCGGTGTTCCTGCTGCTGGAGGGAGGCTGAGCCCGAGTCGGGTTGTCTATAGGCCTGTGGTGCAGGTGGGGTATAAATCTGGGGGGGGGGGGCAACACACAGAAACCTCGTTCAGCTGGGAAGAGCGAAGGCCTGCTTAGGCTCTGCAAGGGATCTGCCAGCGGCAAAGCCGTGCTGGGGGCACTAACACTGCTCCTGTGTCTCAGCAGAAGTGGAGTGTAGGTTAGGATGAGAAAAAAAGAGGATGTATCAAGCAGGAATGCTCGGAATGATGTAGGCTTTGAATTTGAAAACTCTGGTATTAGCAGGAAGGAGTCTGAAGGT